TGGAAATTCAACATTAACCAGTGTGTGTCCACACTCCTCCCTTTCCCCAGGATTATGGCAAAGTTCTAGAGCCACATGTAGTGCCAAGAAACTGGAGTTGCACCCCCCAAAATCTTCCATTTGCCCCCTCCAGATTCATTCTCCACCCATCTCCAGTCTCCTCAGCCTAAACTGAATGGAGCACATGAACAAGGTTCTCTTCCCTCTGGCTTCCAGATGGAATCAGCCTTCTTTCTGTGCTCTGTTTTCTTCTAGTTTCTAGAATCTTGCCCTCTCTTCATCCCATCGGGCCCAGCAGTGATAACAGCTCCGCAGCTGTGAGCCCCGGGTTCCTGCACTCTACCCTGTGCCCACACCTTTGTAATCACTCCTCTTGTAAACAATCCCTCCTCAAATTATCCTGTTGTGATAGTGCCAGCTGTTTCCTGCTGTGATACAGTCCTAGATGTCCACTGTCCACATAGCAATTCTGAGACACCTTTCATTCTGTCTGGTTCCTGGTATTCAGACCACAAGGTTTCCGCAGCGACATCCCTCATGTTTGTCCACTTCACCCTGAAGGTCTTGTAACTCTCTCTGCTGCTGTTTCCATGCTGCACTGGGGACAGAGATGTCTGTGGGGTTGTCAAGGTGCTTTCTGCCTAGACCTTGTGTGTACTCACTTGCTCTCTGCAACTAGGGTGGCAAAATGCAGGGAGATCCCATCTGTGTCTACACACTTCCCACTCCTACTCTGTCAACCTTATGCAACCCACATCAGGGGACAGGTTGGACTGGTGAAAGATGGAGAAAAAAAGGAGGTGTATAAAATACTGAGAAAGAAAAAATAAATGTCATAATATATAGAAGTGTGTTAATATAGATGTTTAAACATCACCACCCTGTAACAAATCCATGAAAGTGAACATTTACATGGCCACTAGAACCATCCAGCTTGTGAGTTCTAAAAATAAGGATTTAAACATTCCTATTGCCAAATGCCAGGCTCTTCATTTATATAGAAAATTATATTTTGAAAAGCACTCTGTATATAGAAACTCATTGGATCTTCAACCTTAAGAAGGTTATAAGATATACTCTCTGTTATAGGCTGAACTGTGTCCCTCCAAATTTTATATGTTGAAGTCCTCACAAGGTAATATTTAGTTATAAGGTCTTTAAAGTGGTAATTAAGTTAAAATGAGGTCTTTAGAGTGGTTCATAATCTAATATGGCTGATGTCCCTGTAGGAAGAAGAAATTTGGACACAGACATGCACACACAGCAGAAAAATTATCTCTGGGCAGAGGGAAAAGACGGCCATCTGCAAGCTAAAGAGAGAGGTCTCATAAGAAGAAACCAACCCTGCCAACACATTGATCTTGGACTTCCAGCTCCCAGAACTGCGAGAAAATAAATGTCTGTTGTTTAACCCACCCAGTCTCTGGTACTTTTTTTACAGCAGCTCTAGGAAACCCATCCACTTCATTCTATACATCAAGAAACTGAACTTTAGAGAGGTTAAATAGCCTGTCAAAAAGTCACAATTGTTTCACAGTAGATTACTTACAATAAACCATTACACTAGTGATTCCAACACTTAAACCCAGGCTACCTCGCACCCTATAGTACATCTCTCGTGAGATGACTGCAAAGGGCTCTGCAACTGTACTATGCTATTGCCATATGAGCATATGCGTGAGGATGTACATCTGCAGGCTTAGGCCACCAGGTTGTGGCTGCCTCCAGCTGGTTTCCAGACTCCCTGATCCCCTCCGTCCTCCACTCCATCAGCTGCCTTTCCACTCCTTTCACACTCCCTGTCAGCTCCTGAATTGCAGGTCCATTCAGAGAGTGTACAAAGAGGGCAAGCGGTGAGGGAGGAAGCCTAGGGCAGCAAGGGAACTGCACCGAAATACTGTGAGGCACATAAAGGAGAGGACACTCTTGAACGTGTTAAATTCCCCACATGTGGCCAGTCTGTAGAGAACGAGGAAAAGCAACAGGAATTTCCTATTTCGTTTGGAATCCAAGCACAGGCAGTAGATACTGTGCGTGCAGTAGGGTTAAAGGACAAGACGGAAATGAGAAAGCTTGGGTTATGGTCTCAGATTTGTGGATTCCCTATCAGGAACTTTGGGCAAATTACCTTAATTACTGGGCTTATGTTTCCTTACCACCGAAATGACCAAGTTATATTCAAGGCTTCTTCTATTTAACATTTGGTGAGATGTTTACCTGACACTGTAATGTGCTTTTACGTGGAAGTATAAAATCATACCATATGGTTCAGCTGCCATTTGAACCTCAGTGTCAAGTTTCTTTGTTTTTTTCTTTTTATTTTTTTTTGTGGTACGCGGGCCTCTCACTGCTGTGGCCTCTCCCGTTGTGGAGCACAGGCTCCGGACGCACAGGCTCAGCGGCCATGGCTCACGGGCCCAGCCGCTCCGTGACATGTGGGATCTTCCCGGACCGGGGCATGAACCCGTGTCCCCTGCATCAGTAGGCGGACTCTCAACCACTGCGCCACCAGGGAGGCCCCAGTGTCAAGTTTTGATGATCATGGGGAGTGGGGTTTCAAAAATAAAAATCCCACTGTTAATAGTGTTATTACAAAATCAACCTTTATTCCAATATCAATAAATTAGGGGAAATTTTGATTTATTAATTTATTTAACTGTAACCATAGAAAAATGCTCCATTCAGTTATTCATTCATGTAACCAAAATTGAAGGAACAGCTACTGTGGGCTGAGTACTTACTATGCATTCCCCTAGGCACTCCTAGTCTCTCCAGTGGGAAATAGTACATTGTGGAAAGTGCTGTGGGTCGTGTTAGAATACGGGTAAGCTCAGAGCAGCATGACAACCTATGAAAGGGCAAAAGAACACCTAGCTCCACTCTTTCAAGGAGGATGAATCAAACTGTATCAAGACAAAAGAGTTAATTTGCACAACATCCCAGAGAGGGCTGGACATAGTTTAGGAATTATAAGAAAATAGAAACTCAGTCTATCAAAAGGGCTGTGTAGTTTAAAGACTAAATCATAAAAGACTCTCATACATCGCTTATAAATGAGCCCAATCACAGTAAGCTAAATTCCTTTGCTCTCTGTTACTATTATAAAGGTTTCCAAAAGATGTGAACTCTATGTCAATCCCCAGTATTTATTATATCTTTCCTTGCTTTGGGAAGCAAACATGGCTGGAATCACAAAAAAATTAAATATGGAAAGGATCTTATAAATCAGCTGGTTCAACTCACTCACTCAGAGATAGACTGATTGCTCCCAGGTTTCACAGCAGCAGAGCAAAATCTAGATCTCAAGTATGTGGACTCCCATGTGAATGATTTTTGGGTTTTCCTACTGAACTTCCCTGTGCTTCCCACCAGCCATTATACATAAATTCCCGGGAAAAAAGTCAAGCATTCTCTGTCATTCAGTTAACCAAGCAATCAATCATTTAGGAAGCATGCCAGACCTAACTATATATGCCTTGGAATCAACCATGACCATGTGCCAGTTGTGCTGCTATATATATTTATCTGCTTATTCCATATTCTGAAATATCCCTTCTGTTGGAATTGTCTCAGCCAGAAATATCCATGAGTGGGAACAGTGACAGGACATTGCAAGAATTTCCCCAGAGCCAAGTGAGGAAGTGGAGAGCAGCAAATGACACTGAACAAGGATTCACAGTTCATCTGGCAAACATTTCATGAGCATCTAATACATGTCAGGCACTGTCCTAAGCAGCACCAGTGAAAACTAAAGTAAGTGTAATAAGATACCATCCTAGGCTACATGGTGCTTGTCTACTGAGGAAAACAGACAATAAGCAAAGAAACAAATACACGTAACTATAATGTCAAACAACAATAAGTGTATGGCAAACGTTCAAAACACAGGAAGTGAAAAAAAGTTTTAAATTCTGAAGGAACAGAAAGTGCAGTAAGAAGAAACTGTAATGACTCACTTCCAGAAAAGAAAGATGCTTGGATATATTGCAGCCTTTCATATTCACCTTCCTCTGCGGTGGAGTCATTCTTAGAAACATAGTGGGAAGAAGTAGGAGGCACTCTCAAATTTCTTCTGGAGTGTCAAGAACCACCTTCCAAACTCTGATCAGACTGGTTTTTAGAGAGACATCAAGCACTTTCTTCCCAAGCACCCGGCACTTTCTTATCCAAACACAGTGTTCCATGTGTTTTTACACTATTGGGCAGTGGTTCTTGTAACGTTCCTAGAGGATTTCACGGCCCCCTTTGAATATCTGATTTAAAATAGAGACCTTCCCTCCCCAAAAAACCCACAAGTACCTACGTAGAATATGCTGCATTTAACATCGGGGGCTTGTTGAGGATCATCAATGATCATCCTACTGGAGACTCAGGCCCATATCAGATCAATTAAATCAGAATCTCTCAGGATTAGGTTCAGGAATTGGTGATGTTTAAAAGCCTTGGTCCGGGAAGATCCCACATGCCGCAGAGCAACTAAGCCCGTGCACCACAACTACTGAGCCTGTGCTCCAGAGCCTGTGAGCAACAACTACTGAGCCCATGTGGCAGAACTACTGAAACTGACGCACCTAGAGCCTGTGCTCTGCAATAAGAGAAGTCACCGCAACTGCATGCCACAACGTAGAGTAGCCCCCGCTCGCCGCAACTAGAGAAAGCCCACGCACAGCAACAAAGACCCAATGCAGCCAATAAATAAATTTATTTTTTTAAAAAACTCTCAGATAATTCCAATGAAGATCCTGATCTTCATGCAATGGAAGTCTGGCTTTATTTAAAAAAAAAAAAAAAAAAAAAAAAAAAAAAAAAAAAAAAAACAGAAGAGAAATACTTTAAACTAAAACCCAACTGATCATAGAGTTATTAGGTTTATCTGAATTCAAAGGCTAGTAATACAGATGATTCTGAATAGTCCTAACATTTTACAGAATATATGAAGAACAGAAAACTTATCAATAAATAGGTAGTTGGTTTCCATATATGGGTCCAAACACAAATACCTGTGAGCAAAGATTCTTCTTACTTCTTCCTGGAATTCCAGTACCTAGTATAGAGCTTGGCACATATGAAGGCTTAATTAATGTTTGTTGAGTCAACCACACCATTTTGGTCCTTCCTTCCTCCTTCAAACACCCTAGGGAAGAAAATGTCATGATCACTCAGTACGTTGTCTAATGAGGCATTTAACTGCACCCTTGAGAAGCAATATTATTGAATACATTCTTTCATTAAAATATTGATTATCTACCATGTGCCAAATATTATAACTGGTGCTGGGGATGATAATGATAATTTAATCCTTCTAAAAACATTCCTGACATTTTCTTTTAATCGATTACTAGAAATTGGTCCTAAGAAGATTAAGAGCTACTCAAGACCACAGAGTTAGTCTGTGGTGGTGGGTAAACTGGAACTCCTATCTTCCAATTCCCAATGTGGTGCTATTTTGGGGAGAGCAAAGTGTGTCACTTTTATTATGTATAAATTTAAAATAATGAGACTAATTTTAACAGCAGATGATCGTGTAAGAAAGTCACAACTTGTATCAATCTACATAGAGGACCTTTCCAGTTCTATCAGTCAGTTTTGTGTAAGCAACTATGGGATTAGAAATAGACTTTTTTTCATGTGTGGGTTACAATGAATTTTGAACTTAGAGCAAATAGTATCAAGTTCTGCATAAATGTAAAGAAAATTGTCTCTGAGACTCCAGGAGAATAAGTGAGGTATGCAAGGCAAAGAGTAAGTTGAGACTGGCACACAGGTTTACGAAGAACAGAAAGGATATGCTGATTTCAAAATGAGTCTCTAATCTCAAACAAAAATATGCAATTGTTCAGCGATTTCACTTATTCATATAGATTACTGTGAGAATGTATAAAATTTAGGTGAACCCCCCTAAGTAATTACAGATACTAATCACCTCTCTGATCCCAGCTCCCACAGCTCTTCCTCTTGTTCTCTATTCTCTAGCAGCTTCAACTTTCTAATGGTACCTCAGGAAAGCCAAGTTGACCCACTGGGCATTTCTATATGGACTTGTCTTTCCTCAACTCTTCCTGAGGGCATTCCGTCCCTCTTTCAATCTCTGCTTAATATCTCTCCCAGAGAGTACTTTGCTGACCATCCTACCTGAAACTGAGTTCCCAGGCCTCACCATCCCCTATGCCCCTACACTGCTCTATGATTTTCTTCTGAGCACTTAACACTCCCCAAAATTATTTTTATTTCCTTGTTTACACAATGGTCTCTTCCGTTAGTGTATGAAGGCAGAATTCTGGCTCTCTCTGTCATTGTTGTGTTCCTTGCAAATAATTCTAAAATTTATATAGAAACACAAAAGACTCTGAACAGCCATCTTTAACCTCCCACTTACATTGCATAATTGTCAATTTCTCCCCTTATGTTCACTAATATTTGCTTTATATATTTAGGTGCTCTATGGCAGCTTTATTCTTAATTGATAAAGCTTGAAAGCAACCAGAATGTCCTTCAGTAGGTGAGTGGTACATCCAGACATGAAATATTATTCAGCACAAAAAAGTAATAAGGTATCAGGCCATGAAAACATATGGAGGAAACTCAAATGCACACTACTAAATGAAAGAAACCAATCTGAGAAGACTTCATGTTACCCAATTCCAACTATAAGACATTCTGGAAAAGACAAAACGATGGAGACAGTAAAAAGATCAGTGGTTGCCAAGATCTGGGGGAACAATAGGTGAATAGGCAGAGCACAGAGGATTTCTAGGGCAGTAAAACCATTCTGTATAATACTATGATGGTGGATACATGTCATTATATATTTGTCAAAACCTGTAAAGTATACAGCACCAAGGGTGAACCCAAATGTAAGCTATAGATTTTGGATGATAATGATGTCAATGTAGGTTCATAAATTGTAACAAACGTAACACTCTGATGTAGGATGTTGAGAGTGACAGAGGCTGTGCATGTGTTGGAGTAGGAGGCATATGAGAATTCTCTGTAGTTTCTATTCAACTTTTCTGTGAATCTAAAAATAGAAAATACATTTTAAAAAAAGAAATTAAGTACTGACACTTGCTATGATGTGTATGAACCTTGAAAACGTTATGCTAAGTTAAAAAGCCAGTCACAAAAGACCACATATTGTATGATTCCATTTATTTGAAATGTCCCCAAATGGTAAATCTATAGAGGCATGAAGTAGATTAGTGTTTGCCATGGTCTGGAGGTTAAGGCGTAATGGACAGTTAGTGCGAATGGCTATGGATTTTTTTGGAGGGAGAGTGATGAAAATGTTCTAAAATTAGATAGTGTTGATGGTTGGACAATTCTGTGAATATACTAAAAAGAAATGAATTGTACAGTTTAAATTGGAGAGTTTTATAGGATTTGAATTTTATCTCAAAAAAGCTGCTATATTAAAAATAGACTAGCTTTAAAAATACTTTGTGCAAGGATAGTTTTATCATATTAAGCATATAGGCTTAACCATAAGTCAATGTATAAGCATGACACTTAGATAACTCTGAATCCACTGGCTCCACCATTTGCTTTCTTTGTGCCTGCAGACAATCACTTGTCTGCAGATTGAGATAACCCTCATAGCATAGCTGAGCAATTTAATACAACATCACAGAAAAAGCACCTGGTGGGGCTTTCCTCACTGTTGGAGAATGAAATTACAAATACGTAAGAGGGGAAGGCAAAAACTAATCTTGTGTTACTGGACTGGAGTCAGAGATATCAGTATGAATTCATGTTTATTTTAATATATTTGCAGATAGATATGAGAATAACTATAGAAATATGTGTATACATAGTTTAACATACATACAGATATTTCCTAGTAGCCATCAGCACACCTAGCGTTCAGATCTGAGTTTCTAAATACCATTTTCCAATAAAAGGAACTAAGATTCCCTGAAGAAATGGAGGATACTAGAATGGGAGCAGGGAAAATACAGATAAATCTGACCATGTGAAAGTGCTTTTTTAAAAAATAATAAAGGATGACTACATGGCAAAAGGACATGAAAGCCAACCTGAAAGAGCTCTAAATGGCCAGAGCTGCAACAGCACAACAAAAAAGTTAGTATTAGATTATGACCCCCCAAAATAAAGTAAATATCCATGAGCCCAAAATGATTTACACAAATGATTGAATCCATAAATAAATTTGGGAGAAGAAATGTCCTTTACAAAAGAATTCCAACGGATAAATAGAGAAGGAATGAGGGGAATATAACATCACCATTTAGACACAGCAACACCTGCTGCAGGCAAGATCTGTAGGTGAATGCTCAAACTGATGGGGGAAACTTTATGGAGTAAGCAGATATTTCCTTACCCTCAAAGTATTGCCCCCCAAATATTTATGAATTACAAGGGTGATTTTAACATTTGTTTACAAATGTATAGTAACTTTTCAGTGAAGAACCCTAGCAGACACCGCCTTAACCAAGTGATTAAGGTTTACACCCCAGTTGTAAGTTATGCTGAGATCATGTACCGTTGATAACATGACATGACATGAAAAAAAAGGACATATCAGCTCTGTAGTATTCTTCCCACCCATAACCCCAATCTAATCATGAGAAAACATCAGATTAAACTCAAATTGAAGGACATTCTAAAAATACCTGACCAGTACACTTGAAAAGTGTCAAGATAACAAAGAATAAGAGAAGACTAAGAATCTGTCATCGGTTGGAAAAGACTATGACAACGTGATGACTAAGTGCAATGTCTCGTATCTGGATTGGATCCTAGAGCAGAAAAAGGACATTAGTGGAACGCTGGTGAAATTAGTGGAACACTGGTGTAAAGTCTACAGTTTAGATAATAGTGTACAATGTTCATTCTTAGTTTTGGTAAATGTGCCATGGTTATGTAAGATGTTACTATTAGGAGAAGCTGGATGAACATTATTCAGGAGTTCTGTGTACTATCTGTACAACTATTCTGTAAATCTATAATCACTGCAAAATAGAAAAGTTAAAAAACAAAACAAGGACTTGGCCTGCTATACATGCTCAATAAATCATCCTCAATATTCTACCCTCTTGCTAGCTATCACCACAGCCTTCTGGGGTGACACCTCCTGAACTAATTAAACAACCCACTTTCCACTTTTCTGTGAACTCCCTCCCCAGCCTCAAATCCCTTTAGTTATAATGGGAAGACTCCAGGGAATCACAGTAGCCAATGTGATGCTTCCTACCACATGCATCCTATGCCCTGCCTGGTCATAACTGATTGGACCAGGAATGGGCATTTGACCTAAACTGAGCCAATGAGCCCTTCTTTAGGGAAATTGAGATTCCAGGTACTTCTGTCTGATTTCTTGAATGGAGGAGATCTACTTCAGACCTCTTAGAATCTATTTTCTAATATCTGTCCTGCGAAGCAGGGAAGTCATTTATTATGGACAGAATGTTTGTCCCCCGCCGCCCCCTGCCAAATTCACATGTTGAAATCCTAACCCAATACAGTATGTGATGATATTAGGAGGTGGACCCTTTGGGAGGTAATTAGATCATAAGGGTTTAGCCCCCATGAATGAGATTATTGTCCTTATTAAAAAAAAAAACACTCCAGAGAGCTTTCTCATTTCTCTTTCTGCCAAGTGAGGACACAATGAGAAGTCAGCAGTCTAAAACCGAAAGAGGGTCCTCATCAGAACTCAACCATGCCAGCACCCATATCTGGAATTCCAGCCTCAGAACTGTGAGAAATAAACTTCTGTTGTTTATAAGCCACCCAGTCTATGGTATATTTGTTGTAGCAGTCCGAGCCAACCAAGACACCATTCTTCAGCAAGAGGACAAAATGAAACGGGTAGGCTCTGAGAGGCCGAACTGATAAATCAGGAGAGAAAAAATTACCTGGGTTACTATGGTGCTCTAGCCTTTAGCTCCTACTGGTTCCCAAAGCCTAGCTGCTCCCCTACCCTTAGATTCCATGAAATGCCCACTTAACCCTATTTCTCTTTGAGCTTAAACTGGCTAGATTTGGTTTCTGTTAATATAACTTGAATGTGCTAATTAATACAACTACTTTGTAAGACATGACATTCATTTACATGTATGGTTTCTGTTGTATTTGCTTTTCAATGGTCAAGGTCAGTAATTTTTTTAGTCATAGTTTATATAAACTATCTGGTTAAATTACTCCTACCTTTTCACATATATACAAATAAACCACATCTTTTTAATTCTAGTCATTTGTTCGTTCTGTGCTTGCTCTCTGAAATACCTTTACTCTACCTCATCATGTCCAAATTCCATCCATACTGCCAGGTTTAGCTTAAATGCCATCTCTTCCATACAGCCTTCCTTGCCACCCACCTAAAAAAAAGAACATGTATATATTCTTATCCCATGGGATATATATATATATATATATATATATATCCCATGTTTTCTTATCTGTATCTTTCATTCCTTTTATCCCTTTCTAACTTTATACAGTCATTTACTTACACATATTGTCTCCCTCTTAGATGTGAAGCTACTTGAGATCAGCTACCCTGTTCTCCTGTAGGCAGCATTTCAAGAAACAGTTCAAGAAACATTGCATTGCATAACAATGCAAATACATAAGTTAATTGCAACTGCTTAAGAAGGACAAAAATGAAAGACAGCAATGACAGTTAACTGTATTCTTTTACTGTACTTAGTAAGAAAATTATTTTTAAGAAGTAAAGCTATCTCACACCTAAAAGAAAATATTAGAGAATATCTTCATCACCTTGGGTCAGGCAAAGATGTCTTAAACAGGAAAACAAAAAAAACACTAGTAAAGGAAAAGTGGATATATTACAGCATATTAAAATTAAGAATTTCTGTTCATCAAAAAAATCATTAAAAGAGAGAAAAGGTAAGCCATAGAGTTGGAGAAAATATTTGTAAGATATATAAAAGATTCAAACCTAGACATTTAAAAAAAAACCATATAAATCAATTTTTCTTAAAAGACAAACATCCTGGGACTTCCCTGGCGGTCCAGTGGTTAAGACCCCACGCTTCCACTGCAGGGGGCACAGGTTCAATCCCTGGTCAGGGAACTGAGATCCTGCATGCCGCACAGCGCAGCCAAAAAGAAAAGACAAACATCCTAATAGAAAAAATGAGAAGACTTGACCAGGTACACCAGAATGGTTAAACCTACGAAGATGGCAAAAAACAAGTGTTGACGAAGTGCTTAAGGTAGTAAACAAGATGCTACTAGGAGTATAAACTGATACTGACTTTAGAAAAGAGTTTGGCTGTATCAGCTAAAGCTGGACACGGGCACACTCTGACCTAGCAGCAATTCACAGTTATGAAAGCATGCATGTGTCATGCATGCTCATCAAAAGTCATGCCTAAGAATGCTCATAACCACTATTCATAAAAGCTAAAACCTGGAAACAAATGTCATCAAGAGAAAATGAATAAAGTCATTGTGACATTCATACAAAGGCATATTACACAGCAATGAAAAAATTATTACTAAATGCAAAAATGTGAATGAATTGCTTAAAGATAATGTTGATGGCTTTGTTGCTCATTTTTATTTAAAAGCAGGCACAGAAATTTTCCGATTGTGGGATTCAACTTATGTAAAGTTCAATCCCAGGCCAAATTAATTGATGGTGTTAGAAAACAAATTGTGGTCATCTTTTTCAGGGGATACTGACTGGGAGAGGAGAAGAAGGAAGCTTTCAGGGGGCTGGTATATTCTATTATTTCTTAATCCAGAGACTGAATATACAGATGTGTTCACTTTGCACAAATCCATCAAGTTGTAAACTTATAATTTGTGTGCACATTTCTGTATGACTGTTGTACTTCAATAAAAGATTTTTAAAAAGAAAAGTTTTCAAGCATTACTTGTAGCCGTGATATCAATGCCTTAGGCATTGTGCTAAAGGGTCGTGTGTGTATAAATTACATATCCTTTTAGTAGCACAAAAACCTATTAAAATCAATATTTTTATATTATACCTTTGAGAATTAAGAGGTAAAATTACACAGTGATTTATTCAGAGGAACAAATAGGAACAATAATAAATGTTTATTGATTTTAAAGTTATGGAGGCTTGGGAATTTAAACCAGAGTTTCAGTATGCAAAAGCAAATAATTTGTTCAGATGACCTTGGTATTTATGATTAGCTGGGAATTTTTTTTTAAAATAAATTTATTTATTTATTTTTGGCTGTGTTGGGTCTTCATTGCTGCACACAGGCTTTCTCTAGTTGCGGCAAGCGGGGGCTACTCTTCATTGCAGTGTACGTGCTTCTCATTGCAGTGGCTTCTCTTGTTGTGGAGCACGGGCTCTAGGTGTGCGGGCTTCAGTAGTTGTGGCACGCAGGCTCAGTAGTTGTGGCTCACAGGCTCTAGAGTGCAGGCTCAGTAGTTGTGGCACATGGGCTTAGCTGCTCCACAGCATGTGGGATCTTCCCGGACCAGGGCTTGAACCCATGTCCCCTGCATTGGCAGGTGGATTCTTAACCACTGCGCCACCAGGGAAGTCCCTACCTGGGAATTTGATTAAGCAGGGGTCCATGTCACCATCTTGCAATGTGGAAGTGTTCCTCTTCTTTCTTTTTTTTTTTTTTTTTAATCCTTTGCTGTATGTGACCTGGGGTGTTCTGGAAATATCATTAATATTAGAAACTTAGTTGGAAAAATAGGTGATGCTTAAAATCCAGCTAAGTGGGTTATGGTTCCATCAAAAGAATGAACTCAAAATAATTCCTAGGACTTGAAGCCTAGAACAAACCTTTTGTTAGGTCTTCTGGGTTTCAGCATTGTTACTCAGTACTTAGATTTAAACTTGAATAGACATTGGTCACAACCTTGAAGGATAAAAGAAGCCATGACAAGGCAAGCAGCAGTGTGCAGGGTTAGGGGTGAGGGGGACGGATTAGAGGAGGAATGACTACTAGGTAAGGAAAGGGGTTTTCCTTAGACCTGCTATCTCAGTCCATTTGGGCCGCTATAACAAAATACCACAGACTGGGTGGATTATAAACAACAGACATTTATTTCTCATAGTTCTGGAGGCTGGGAAGCCCAAGATTCAAGGCACCAGCACATCAGTGTCTGGTGAGAACCTGCTTCCTGGTTCATAGACAGCCCTTGTGCTCACAAGGCAGAACAGGTGAGGAAGTTCTCTAAGGCTTCTTCATAAGGGCACTAATCCCATTCACAAGCGCTCTGCCCTCATGATCTAATCACCTCCCAAAGGCTCTACCTCCAAACAGCCTGACACTGGGGATTAGGTTTCAACATATGAATTTGGGAGGCACACAGTCTATAGCACTTGCCATACTTCTTTTGAAATTTAAAGACATTAGTGATGGTTCTGGCCAATTAATTACCCCTAACATGCTAAAACCCCACAAAGTCACACCTAAAAGGCCCATCACCCAATGCCTTCAAAATGGGCACTAATGTTACGAAGAACCTTACTATTTCACACTCTCCTCCCCAAAGAGTCCAGGCCTCCCCCTAGGTCCCACATTTTAGAGCATCCTACATATTCCTAACATACACACACATGTGCGTACACACACACACACACACGCACACACACACACACACCCAAGGAGAGAATGTATATGAAAACTACAAATAGAAGTCATATTACTGAAGTGATGGAGTACAATCTGACTTATTGCAGATAATACTTTTACATTTGCAAATCCAAGGCAAGACAAACAAACAAACAAAATAAAATAAATAAACCAAACAGTAACAAACAGGTAGCTACAGAGAACAGAGTACTGGTTACCGGGGGTGGGTACAGGAGATCAACTGTGTGATGACAGATGGAAACTAGAGTTTTGGTGGTGAGCACACTGTAATGTGTACAGAAGTCAAAATATAATGTTGTACACATGAAACATGTTATAAAGTAATGTTACCTCATTTTCAAACTTCTGAATCAATTAAAAGAGCAAACAAAAATCCTTTTGGTTGGACATAAGGCAGAGGGAGAACAGGTTTAGGGTGTGGCTCCCTGATGAAAATCTGATTGGATTAAAGCATCCAGAATTAACTTTAAGGAAAGAAGCACATATCAAAAAGAATTGTTGGTGGGACTTCCCTGGTGGCACAGTGGTTAAGAATCCACCTGCCAATGCAGGGGATTCAATCCCTGGTCCGGGAAGATCCCACGTGTCACGGAGCAACTAAGCCCGTGCACCACAACTACTGAGCCTGCGCTCTAGAGCCTGTGGGCCACAACTACTGAGCCCACATGCTGCAACTACTGAAGCCCGTGCCTAAAGCCCATGCTACGCAACAAGAGAAGCCACCACAATGAGAAGCCGGCACACTGCAACAAAGAGTAGCCCCCGCTCACTGCAACTAGAGAAAGCCCATGGGCGCAGCAATGGAGACCAAATGCAGCCAAAAATAAATAAATAAAATTTAAAAACAAGAAAAAGAAAAATTGGCTTTATTTTTCTCCCTTTGTTCTAAGTAAATAAGTCAAATATTAATTGAGTGGAATTTATCCAAAAATTTTAGAGTGAAATCTTCAGAAATACTTTAAAAAGCTCTTAATTATATTTTGAAAACAATGTGTGACCTCAAGTTTAAGGGTGTTACCTATTACTCAACTGGGTAAGTTACTGAGAACAGGAACCGCCCCAGGCAGAACTATCAAAGGGTTAGTCTGAATTCTTTTTACAATTGGCAATCCTTTCTTAACTCTCCTGTTTCCCCAGGACCTTCATTTATCATACTGACCCATTATGCTCAAAGAACCCCTAAATAGGCGACCACCCAATTTTGGACCTCCTCCTTATTCCTGTCCTTCCTGGTTCCCATCTGACATCAGAAGCTGAACTGGTATCAGAGTAAGAACTGTACCTTTGCACTCACTTCTAGCATAATCTGACTATTTCTTCTAGCATGTAAATATAGTTTCCTAAAGGAACTAACAAACAAAACAAAACAAAGAAAAAGCTATTGCGAATGAAGCAGTGAAGATTAAACAAACTCAGAAGGACTTTTAAGACCTTTAACAAAAATGATATTCCTTCCTTAGCTAGTAATCTTTTAACCATCCATAAGGGGTCATAGAGTTTCAGGTCTGGAATATAATCTAGCTTCACTCAACTCTTCCCCTGACTATTTTCCCCTTTCAGGTTTGAATATTCTAACCAAAAAAAAAAAAATGCCTGACATAAGACTTATGATTATATTTATATTTATCATAGATAAATTATATCTAAATGTATAACAATATAAATCATAAAATAATGATGCTGAGCAGGGCCCTGTGGGGCTCCTGGACATGGAGGTTTTTTTTTTTTTTTGCGGTACACGGGCCTCTCACTGTTGTGGCCTCTCCCGTTGCGGAGCACAGGCTCCGGACGCACAGGCTCAGCGGCCATGGCTCACGGGCCCAGCCACTCCGCGGCATGTGGGATCTTCCCGGACCAGGGCACGAACCCGCATCCCGTGCATCGGCAGGCGGACTCCCAACCACTGCGCCACCAGGGAAGCCCGACATGGAGGTTTTTATTGTCCCCTGTTTCTTGCAGGCAAGACTCCAGCCTCCATGACCTTCCCTGAGTTCCAAAGAGCAGATTTGAACAATTGCTAATCAAGGGAGGAGCAGCCAGGAAACCACCAGAGGCAAGATTAAAGGGACCAGAGAAGCTCATCAAGATTAGGAAACCAGACCACCTGAGACCCTGCACACAACCTAATCCTGTCAGCAACCCCACCCTTTTGAAACTTTGCAGAAGAAAGAATGCAAGACTGTTACTGCCCTGATCCTTATCACAAACCTCTGACCACTACCCAGGACTATATAACCTCTCCCTATTCCCCAGTGACGGGGTACAGTTCTTGAGGTGCTAGCCTGCTGTGTTCCCTCTCTGCCTGGCAAAGAAATAAAGCCACTCTTTCTTTCTCCTCCATAACTCTGTCTCCATATTTCTATTTGGCATTGATGCACAGAGAGCCAAGATTCTGGCACCAGTAATATAAATATAAACAGTATATAATATGTAAATAATTATATATTGTTGACTGAAAACAAGTGCACAACCTAAAAATTGAGAATTATGTCTTATTCAGGGCATTACTGAGGATTATAGTCTGGGAAGGAAGCCTCTCAGATACCTGAGGGACTGTTCCAAAGAGGTAAGGGAGGAGCTGGGATATAGAGGAGTTTTTGCTGGAAAAAAACCAAACAAATGTAGTCTAACATCAAAAGATTACTGCTAATCACAAAAACTAACATCTTAATGATTTTACTGCTTTTCTGTATATGGGAAGATGCAAGAGTCTGGGCTTATTGAAATCGTTCCTTTGAGATGCACCTTAACTATCTAAGGCCAATATCTTGTTTTTCTCCTTCCTGAATTCCCCTCAGGGTGCACCACTGGGGGTGGCTGCAGTGGCTGACAGTTTTATGGCCACAACATCCTTTGTTTACTGGAAAGGCAGGAGAAATTCTTTGTCCACAGTATAAATATTATGATTATAATTATATATCACATATAAATTATAAATTATATATTATATAAATATATCATATTAAATTATATACATTTAATATATTATATAGTCAATATAATATATAGTCAATTTTTTAATATATAGTCAATTTTAAAATATAAAATATATATGACATAAGTTATATATAATTTATATAAATTTTCAAACCAACATCAGCAATTAACAAAAATGCCTTACAGATTTATGATCATATTTATATTTATTATAACTATAACTTATACAATACATTATATTTTACATTATTTGTAATTGTAATTTATATAATAATTATTATATAATATATTAAAATTATAATATTTGTATCATATATAAATTTATACAATATAAATATAATTATGTAATATAGAATATATAATGATATATAAATTTCATATGATTAAATGTATATATTATATATAATATATAAATATATAAATTATAATCACATGTTATATAAATATACTATATTAAATTATATAAATGTAATGATTCTTTTAAAATCTAAAATATATTAGTTATATATAATTTGTACATAAATATAATTCATATATTATATATTTCTATAATTAAATATAATTATATTTAGTTTATTATAGAAGATTTAGTTTTCTGTTTTTTGTTTTAGGCTGCTCCATGCAGCATGTGGGATCTTAGTTCCCTGACCAGGGATCGAACCTGTGTTCCCTGCAGTAGAAGTGCAGAGCCTTTACCAGTGGACTGCCAGGGAAGTCCCTAGAAGATTTAGTTTTACTTACGATAGATCTCCTGTTTTGTGCCTTTTGCTCGTCTCTTAAGTTCCAACTGAAAATTTAAAACATGAGTCTCAATTCCAGTGGGATCAAGCTAGAATATGTGCAAAAATCAGTACAAAACCATCTCTATGACTGCTGAAACATAATAGATGTTAAGTACCCATCTACTGAATGAACACATTAATGATATGTTTATGTCAATAATATCACAACTACCTATGAAGGATGCTACATTTTATTAAATATCCAGAGATTCACTGAGAGGATTTTATGACCAAAATTAAACTCTACAAAAAGCTTTGTACACTCATTTTCTCTGATGTGCAGTGCTAGTTACAAGTAAAGATTTTCTCCAACTTTGGATAGAGTCACTTTTAAAATTCAGAGCCAAGAAACAAACTTAGAGAGCCTCATGTGTATGGTCAGTAAATGCCATGATGAATTGGAATTTCCAGAACCCAAAAAATAAACGTAGAAGTGTAAAATAGTACTCATAGGGGAAAAACCAAACAAATTGCTCTTTGCCATATACTTCAGCAATTTTTAGATTTCAGTTAGACTGCAAGTTTGGATTGAGGTTAAAAGTCATAGTTCTAATGACTCAATCTTAAATCATCTCTGAATTGTAGGGCGGAGGGGGCCCATCACATGATGGAAGCACTTTCAGTCACAAGGAAATCTTCCTTAGGCTTCCCTCTCTGACCATTCATTAACTTTTAGTTAATGTATGCAATTTAGCACTGGCAGTGTATATTTAAGTATACATTGGTTAATAAGCTCTCAGCTCTTTGAGCTCAGAGATCCTTACTGCACTTTCCTTGTACCATCCACAAAACCTAATGAAGGGCAGAGAACAATGTGCTGTTCAATATATGTGGACAGTTGACTGATTTAGTGAATCTTATAAAATAATAAATACGCTAAAATCATGGTGGATGACCCGGGATTTAGCCTGGAAACAAAGATTCAAAGGGTTTTTAAAGTTTCTTGAGGCCAGGAATCCTATCTTTCTTATCCTTGTATTTTAGGAATCCAGCACAACACAGGGACAAAGAAATGCACAGTCAGTGAGCGCTAAGTGAACGAATTAATAAGTCATTAGAACATACTGAACATCAGGAGAGACCTTCCCCAACGGTCCGCAGCAGGGGAGGAAGGTTTGTTCCAGCTTTCACCCTACACTGAATAAGCACCCATCTCTGATTCTGTTCTCCCTCCTCCTCAGATGCTTATCTTTTTTTTTTTTTTTTTGCGGTACGCGGGCCTCTCACTGTTGTGGCCTCTCCCGCTGTGGAGCACAGGCTCCGGACGCGCAGGCTCATGGGCCCAGCCGCTCCGCAGCACGTGGGATCTTCCCGGACCGGGGCACGAACCCGCATCCCCTGCATCGGCAGGCGGACTCTCAACCACTGTGCCACCAGGGAAGCCCAATGCTTATGATTTTTTCAGGTTAACTCCACAAATCTGGTACCTGAAATGTTTTACGAGACCTTAAATTATCTATGTCCTCTTAACAATCCAAATGGAAAATCTGAATGGTGGATTTAACAAACAAACTGCACTAAACAAACTGGGGATCATAGTGTGGGGTGTACATGCACAGGTAAGAAAGTCAGCTTAAGGTTCTGTCTTCAAACCCTACAACAGTCCAGTGAGGGAGATACTATTGTCCCCACTTTAAAGATGAGAACACTGAGAATTACTGTGGCGTTTCTCAAAGTATGGTCCTGGACTGTGTTAGTATCACCAGGGCCAATTTGTGGTCCCACTGCAGATATACTCTGGGGAGATGCCCAGCACTCTTGAGTTTTAACAAGTGTGCTAAAGTTTGAGAATCACTGCTTTAGAGAATTTAAGCAATTTGATTTGCCCAGATCACACACAGATGGGAAAGGCAGAGCTGGGAATTGAACCCAGGCATCCAATGCCAATCTGTCCACTGCAGCCCACTTCCTCATGCTGGGGAGTCAGTCATTCTCCCACTCCCTCAAAAGGCCAGCCCTGTACAAGACTGAAATTCAGTAAGGGAAAAGGATCCAGTTCCCAGAAGAGCCTCACAGTCTCAGAATTTTAAAGACTCTTAAGAATAAGTTTACACATAAAGTTCAAAGAAGTAAATATATAATATTCTTGATTAAAACTCACGTAATGGTTTTTGCTCTGGAAATGTAGAGATCAACAAGGACTTTCTAAGTAGAGCCTTATACTTATTTTATTCAGTGCTTTCTTTAAAATTTCTTTTTTGGGGTATTAAAAATAACGTTTTTCTCATTATCTTACCCAATACTGACATTAGCCATTTTTCCTTCCTTGACTTAAAAAGACCTATAAAATTTTCTGAGAAGAGAATGAAAATTAAAGAACACTCTGGGGCTTCCCTGGTGGCGCAGTGGTTGAGAGTCCACCTGCCGATGCAGGGGACACGGGTTCGCGCCCTGGTCCGGGAAGATCCCACATGCCGCAGAGCGGCTGGGCCCGTGAGCCATGGCCGCTGGACCTGCGCGTCCGGAGCCTGTGCTCCACAACGGGAGAGGCCACAACAGTGAGAGGCCTGCGTACCGCAAAAAAAAAAAAAAATATCTAACACTCAGGTTTGGGCATGAGAATCAGCTGGATTTGACACAACTTGAACAACTTACTAGTCAAACACTTTATGTGGGTTCCCTATGCCCCAGTTCACCATCTAAATGGAAATAAGAATTGTATCTATTTCACTGGGTGGTTTCAAGGACTTATAACTCAATGAAGCACTTAAGACAGCTCCTGCACTTAATAAAAGCTCAGTAAATGCTTATCTTTATTTTTATTATTGCTATTATTAGCCGTGTGAGAATGCTACAGCCGATCTCCACGTCCGCCATTGGCACATCATTCATTTATTCAGAGGGCTGCTTCACTTATGTCATCCCTCACAATGTTTTATAGAGCTGTTTTAATTTTCAGTAACTATTTCTTCTGCATGTGCTTCGTCTCCCCCAGTACACAAACCATACACTCATACATCCACTCATTCCCATGACTCAGGTTGTTACAGTCATGGTCCAGAGTAGGGGACTCTTTCCCAAAGCTGATTAGAGAATTGATGCTCATTATGAAGGGCCCTTTCTCTGAAAGTATCCTTGCCACCAATCACTGGAATTCTGTCATTTTTAGTACTCATTCTAGTGTGTCAAGATCAACTCGTCCCTCTCCATACCGCCTCTTTCAAACAAAAATGCTACTGAAAATGGGTAACGTATTCAACCATCAGTGTAAAGAGTCAGACTGAATGAGAGAAGTGTGGATCTTGAGTGTATTGGATTCTGCTGGGAAACAAAGTGAAAGGACCGAAAGTTCTCCAATACGTGACTAGGAACCAAAAGCAGCTCTGTGCTCTGCCTCAGACATTCCTTTGTAAAAGCTGGTGAAGGCCTTTGCCTTGGAAATCAATACAAAGTTTCAGAAGTGTCTATGTATATACACAGCTTCATCTGAAAAATGTTAGCTCCATGACCTACCCAGATTCAGGGTAAAAATACTGAGTACAAATATCACCAACCATATGCATAGTAGTGTCATACCTATAGTGTCATACCTGGCTTAGGCAAACCAAATAAACTGATAGATAGATAGATAGATAGGTAGAGAGATGACAGGTAATTTCCCAAACATGTACCTCCATGAAATCTTTAACCAGAACCAAACACACAGAGTATGAAAATTAAAATTAAAAAGTGCAAGGCCAATCTTTCCACCTCCACAAATTGACCCAACAACTTTGGTCTAATTAGCACCATATTTAGGTAAAATTTCAGTGCTAACAATGAGATAAACAATGGTGGTGGTCAATATCATTAGCCTCTTGATAATAAGGAGTCTGGGTCCTCGTTAAATTAGCTGACTTGATATCCCAAAGTTGCAACATTAGCATCTCCACCCTCCCAAAGCCATCACTATGTAGCACGGGCCAATTACACTCAACAAGCCTCAGCATGCTTGGGCTTCAAATGCTACAGTCAGTTGCTGTAGATGAGTTGGGCATGTTTCCAAGCCTCCCTAAGTATGAAAATAAACATATATTCAAATGAGGGTAAACAATGACCTAATGGGAAACGTTCAGTCAAGCATCTGAGGACCAGTTCAGACTGGCACCTTTATTCCTTTCAGTTTCATCTGTCCCTCCCAGTCAGCGAAAGGACTAGGCACCAGTACAGAATCAAGGTGGGAAGGGGAGTGGTGGTTCTTGCAGAAGTCCAGGTGTTTTGCCTACACACTGATTATGACAACACATCCAACAGCGGCAGGGCATCCTATCTGCAAAAGCCTGATAACTCTATCAGACCCTGCTCATTCAGCCGACTCCAGAGGCCCCCTTTTCATCCTCAGCTTGAGGCAGATCTCAATGGGCTGAACGAGAATGAGAAACTGAGATAAGTGCTAGCCACAATTATAGAGATACTGCGCGAGGCAATTAGGGTTTTGTCAGTGCTTCTATTAACCTTTGCATTGCCAGCATTTTCCCACTTGGCATTCCAAGTGAGTAACAGGATTTAAATGAGGAAGGAACACAAGCTGGCTGCTGAGTTACAGGCCCAATGTGAAGTGGCCAGCGGGACACAGTGACCTGCTCAACAAGCACAGCAGGAAACAAGGAGGTTTACGAGCGGCTCCCGTACCACTGTTCTTGTGTTCTCTGATGTTGAAATGATTTCTGGGGATGATGTGAACTTACAACTGTGTCACCTGAGAGAATGTGGGCCCTGGATGGATCTCAAGGCCTTTCCTTTGGCTGACTTAGGTTCCCTGATCAAATACTCCTTTTAAACAGTGCAGAGTAATGATTTTTCAGACCATTTTGAGACAAAGTACACAGAATTTTTGATTATCAGTGGAGTTTAGTAACTCTTTGTATTTACACCCATTATCTTATTTGACCCTCACAATAATCTAATAAGATTCATAGAGTATGTGTTGTTAGGTTCCTTTGACAGAGATTAAATGAAAAGCAGAACAGTTAAGTAATTTTCTCAAAATCACACAGTAAGTTAACCCAAACTTAAGCATATTGATTAACATCTGGGACAGATCACATTAGTCTTTACCACTAAGGACTGAAAAGCTAAAGTACCTTTTTTTCCCTGTACCACAAGCCAATCCTGAGTTGCCTAATCAAAAAAAAAAAAAAAGTTCAGGTTTTGAGAAAGCTTATCATAATCACCATTAAGAAATATTTATCAGGCATTTTACATGCAAAACAGATTCTTTTTCTTACTATCCCTCCTCCAGTATCTGAAAACTTTGTCACTAAAATTCTTGGTCACCCCTTGCTATTCAACCTTGAACTCTGTTAAAACTGAAAACAAAACAATAATCTTTTCCTAAAAACCAGATTCCGTCTTTCCTATCATATTTGATTTGCTTCAAATATCTGTGTATAAAACTAAAACAAATGATACTGCCACCATCTTTTTACCTATACCATCTGATTCTCTTCCCTCAAAAGCTTAATCTTAGGAATTTTGAATTGGCACTGATTTGAGGGTATTTTTTCCCTTCATTAATACGTTAAAAATTAATTACCTCGGGCTTCCCTGGTGGCGCAGTGGTTGAGAGTCCGCCTGCCGATGCAGGGGACACGGGTTCGTGCCCCGGTCCGGGAAGATCCCACATGCCACGGAGCAGCTGGGCCCGTGAGCCATGGCCACTGAGCCTGCGCGTCCAGAGCCTGTGCTCCGCAACGGGAGAGGCCACAACAGTGGGAGGCCCACCTAAAAAAAAAAAAAAAAAAAAATTAATTACCTCAAATTCTGTTCACCTAACTCTGGTTTGGAATGCTTTTTTCCCATCAAAACTTAAGGCCAATTTCAAGTCCCTCTGGCCCACTGATCTGACAAACGTCTGCAGGTGTGTGTCAAACCAACTTGGACTGTGCAAGTCTGAGTTGATTATCAAGAAATCAAAGGTTAAATTTCAAGTGGCTTTGGGCTAAATTAGTGACTCCCAAACTTGCTGATGATAAAAATAAACTGCGGCCATTGTTAAAAATATGGATTTCCAGATTTTTCTGGAATCCCTAAGTTTAAGAAGTACCCCAAGTGATTACTTCACTCCGACTAAATTTGGGGAACATTGCGTTAAATGTTCATTTTAAATGAAAACCAAATATAAAGCAGGAATCTTGGTTGACTTTTTGTAAGATCTTAGAGGTTCTCTTCATTCAAAAAATTGAAATTAACTTAAGTCAGTTGAACTTGGGAAAATAAAAATATTCGATATTATGAAATATGGTTTTTGTGCCCTATGTAACATATTACACAAAATTTTGGTTATAATTTTGTCTGTAGTCATCAACCTTTTTTAAAATTTGTGTGTCACAAACAGCTAAGCCAGATATAGCACTGTGATTGGCAATAAAGTCCCTAATAAATATTTCATTAAAGAATGAATGGGTGGGACTTCCCTGGCGGTACAGTGGTTGGGACTTCACCTTCCAGTGCAGGCGGTGTGGTTCGATCCCTGGTTGGGGAGTTAAGATCCCACATGCTTCGTGGTCAAAAAACCTAAAAACATAAAATAGAAGCAATACTGTAACAAATTCAATAAAGACTTTAAAAATAGTCCACATCAAAAAACAAAAAAATGAATGGGGAAAATGACTCAAGTCCCCACCTCTCCATAAAGTCTTCATCATCTTTCCAACAACCTGTAACATCTTTTCCTTTCCTCAGATGCCTGTTATAAATACAGCCAACTCCACTCCACAGTGCACCTGGTCCAATTATATTCTGTTGCTCCTACAAGGCAGCACAATATAGGAATAAGAAATACGGCTTTAGATTCAAACACACAAATTTCTTAACTTCTGATATGCAAAATGAGGATAGGCTAAGTATCTCAAAGGGTTGTTGAGGGGATTAAATGAGTAATGTCTGTCAAACACCAGACTTTACACCATTTGAAAGCATGAATCTTTGTCTTCTCAGCACTTAATACTATGCAAGGTCATTGTAAGAGCTTAGTTTATTGTATTTTCCTTTCTTCCTTCCTTCCTTAAATAATCTACAAATGCCTGAAACTGAGGGGCAAAGTCTTACACTTCCTTGTACTCCCTTGCCTCCATGCTACATCAGTTATGCTGAGCATATAATAGACACTCAAATAACTGCTGATTTAGAAAGGAAAAAAAAAAAAGGCACAGGAAAATAAGGAAAGAGGAAGGAAGATGGAGCACTGGAGGAAAAAAAAAAGATGTAAAAGGAAAGAACTACAAATGCTAGGAAAGGTTGTCTTCTTCTCAATATTTCTCCCAGGCACCACAGAACCAGCCCTCAGTGCAGATCAGAGTCAACATCCTAAGATCTACAAACAGGAGCTGTTTCTCACAGCAATAATTGTTTGCAATTTTGTTCAGTTCATAACTTAGGTTTCAGAGCCAAGAATAAGTGATTTTACCTAAACTGCACGTTATTCTCTCTGAAATAAAGTTTTTATTTACTGAGCCATCTCTGCTTGTTTGCAAAACAAAGTTTCTTTCCAATATAATTCATGTATTTTTTAATATTTAAAGTCAAATGGAAAAAGAAAAGAATTATAGAATTATATACCATGCACAGACCAGAATTCTCCACATTCCTAGCTCCAAGAAAAACAAACACTGAAAACAAGTGGGAAAAGTTTCTCAGATGGCTTTCATTCATTAGTCTCAGCGTTTTTAGAGCTAAAAGGGTATTAGAGGTCATTGTCAGTGGTCTCATCTTTTTACAGATGAGACCCAAAACTAACACCCAAAGAGCTTAAATGACTCACTTAAGAACACAAGAGTCAAAATTCCAAGCAGGGGGCTTCCCTGGTGGCGCAGTGGTTGAGAGTCCGCCTGCCGATGCAGGGGGCACAGGTTCGTGCCCCGGTCCGGGAAGATACCACATGCCGCGGAGTGGCTGGGCCCGTGAACCATGGCCGCTGAGCCTGCGCGTCCGGAGCCTGTGCTCCGCAACAGGAGAAGCCACAACAGTGAGAGGCCCGCGTACCGCAAAAAAAAAAAAAAAAAAAAAAAAATTCCAAGCAGGACAAATTATTTACATCTATAGAACTTTTATAGAACTCTTACATTTTAGATCCATAAGTGATCTTAGAAACTCCCAAGCCTAACATATCACAGCCGAGTCGAAATACCCAATACAACATTCCTGAGACTGCTGCCTGAATAGCACCTGTGAGAGCTAATCACCCTCCCACAGTTAGCCATACTATTGAATTTAGGAGATTTATATCTCCTAAACTTTTAGATCAAGCCATAATATCCCTCCTTCTACCTTCTGTTCCTAGTTCTGATCTTCAAAAAACGGATTCCTTCTGTGCCCTTTTCTCTTTATATTTTCACTGTTCTTTCAAGCATTTATTGTATTCCATATTTCCAAGTATTTCATGACCTTGGTCCCTCTCCAGATATTTCTTAGTCGGTATTGGTGCTGATAAGAATGATGATGATAATATCAATGAAAATAATAATGAGAAGCACATATGTTTACTGAATACTTTCTATGTGTCAGGCATTACGAAAAAGCATGAGCATTTATTATCTCTTTTTTGTTCAGTGCTTATATCCACAGCACCTAGAAGGGTGCCTAGAATATATCAGGCATTCAATAAATATCAGTGGACTGAAGGCATCCTCACCAAAACTCTCTTAAGTAGGCAATAATTTTACATATATATATATATGTTATATAATTGCTATATTATATAGTATATGTATGTTGGAACTTGAAGCTAGGCATTTTGACTAGAAAACTTTATATATGCACTTAACCATTATGCTTTGTGCTTACAAACGCTTTTCTCTCACAAACACGGTAACACAGCTGTGACCACAGATTTCATTTATTAGCTATTGTATGTAAAGACTCTGCATCTAGAATTAGACTATAGCATTCTAGAGCACAGAGGCTGATTCCCATAGCATAAAAATAAGCCACTGTTTCTCTATTCTTAAAAAAATAGTAATAATACAGATCTTGCCTCCAATACTTACAAGCTACCACCCCACTTCTTTTATTTGCTTTTCAGAAAAATTCCTTTACAGAGTTATCTACCTTGCTGTCTCCAATTCCTCTCCTTCTGTTGTCATTTAAAACCACTTCATTTACTTTTCCCCAAATCCTCTTGAGAATTACGCTTGTCATTGCCAGGGACCTTCACTGTTTAAATCCAACAGTCAATTCTCAGTCCTAATCTTATCAGCCACATTGAACATGGTTAATCCTCCCTTCTCCTCTAACCACTTTCTTCATTTGCCTTCCAGGACACCAACTCCTTTGGATTCCTCACACTCTACTGAGAACCCCTTCTCAGTCTCCAATTCTCTCCCTCACCCTGAGCTCTTGGTGGACTGTCCCGAGGCTCAGTCCCTGGCACTCTAGTTATACTCACTGCATTGTTGATCTAATCCCTTCTCATGGCTTTAAACCCAGCCTCTATACAAAGACTCTCAAATTTACAATTCCTGCCCACAACTCACTCCCCAACACTTTTTCTAGATGTCCAATAGAAAACCAAAACACAACTCCTGATCTCCCTTTACTCCAAACCCAATCCACCCATATCTTTCCCTATCTCACTTGATGGAAACTCCATCACTGCTCAGGCTAAAATCCTTTGAATCAACGTTAACTCTTCCCTTTTAATCTGTAAGACATTCAATCTGCCAGAAAATTCTAATGGCAAAAACCTCTATTTTTTTTTAATAAATCTGATCATTTCACTCCTCCACTCAAAACGTTGCAGTGATTCTCCATTTCACTCAGAGTAAAAGCCAACTCTTTACAGTGACCTATCATGTCCTGCCCAATCCATTCTTCTGTTACGTTTTTAACTTTATCCTCATTAACTCACTTGATTCTCACAAAAACCCTATTGCAGTTTGCCATCCCTTTGTTATAGATGAGGAGACTGAGGCTCAAATTGGAGTGACTGATCTAAGATTAAAAAGACAGCGAATGGCACACAAGATGTGGACTCAAGTAACGATGCTCTTCAGTATTATTTCATATGCCTAAGCAGGAAGCAACCTGATTTTCATTGCAGAACCCCAACGAAACTCAAATTTGTGGGACCAGGTACCCCTAGACATGGAAGGTTAATGTGGGGCTGAAAACAGGAGAAATCATTGAGCGTCTGACTAAGATTCCACACTCCATCCTGCATAAACAGGCAACCTTGGAAGAGGAATAAAGGTCTACATGATAGAAATCGTGAGCCAGAAGGATACTTGGACTGAAGGACACTGGACATTGAAGAGGGCATGGGAAGCCACTCCATTCCCCAGACTAAACTGAGAAATATTCTTCTTCATGTGTCTCATCACTATTCCTATGAACACTTCAAAAACAATTTTTAGAGCATCAGCACAGAAGAGTATAGACCGGTCTAAATGGCTTAGTCAAAGAATTGAAAATGACAAGTCTGCATTCAAAGACAAGCTATTTAATGACTAATTTTTTTAATTGGTTCTAGGCTGAGACTTGTATAACAAGTTTCAGTCTGGAGAAAATTTTTTATGCTGCAGTTATGAACCTCTAATGCTAGAGCATTTAATGGAATTTCAAACAGGCCATTAATTGTAACATGCCAATATAATAACAAGAAGAGTAAACTATGTCCAAACAAAACAAGTTCAATACAGTTTAAGTCCAATGTTTGAAATTAAATTTTCCGAGGTATATATTTTGATAACAAATCTTGAAAAGTTAAATACTGAAACAGATAGCAAAAGATTTTTGTGGCAAATTTCCATAAAATATGCCTGAATAGCTTACTCTAAATATAACAAACTTGCAACCACAGGAATTAGAAATTAGATCAAGCATACATAAATTGGGTATAAGACAGTTGTAGTACACGTATGTTTATAGTTTCTTATGCTTTTTGAAACAAATCTTTGTGTAAATGTGATTTTTCAGGGTAAATTTTGAGATGTTTCTAATGCAATTATTTCCCCCAAAATAAGGTTACAAAACAGGAAAGAAAGGATTGGATAGAGTTTTGTTATGGAGTGTATTGAGGTGTAAACCTTGGAAAAACAAATGGTGCATAGAGGTACCTCATTCTGTGGAGATAAAGGAAAAGATATGAGGGATAATAGCTACTGTGTGTGTGTGTGTGTGTGTGTGTGTGTGTGTGTGTGTTTAATAAATTTATTTATGGCTGCATTGGGTCTTGGTTGCTGCATGCTGTGGTCTTTCTCTAGTTCTAGTGAGCAGGGGATACTCTTTGTTATGGTGCACGGGCTTCTTATGGCAGTGGCCTCTCTTGTTGCAGAGCATGGGCTCTAGGTACACAGGTTTCAGTAATTGTAGCCACGGGCTCCACAGTGCAGGCTCAGTAGTTGTGGCGCACAGGCTTAGTTGCTCTGCAGCATGTGGGATCTTCCCAAACCAGGGCTCAAACCCATGTCCCCCACACTGGCAGGCAGATTCTTAATCACTGAGCCATGAGGGAAGTCCCTACTGTGTTGTTTTTCTTTGGGTGATGCAGTGGTGTTCGAGGGAATTATATAGATTCCAGCTGCATTTGGAGTTTGTAACAAAAAGACCTGCTGGAAGATTTTTAATCACAGTCTCAATTTCAGTGCTTGTGATTGGTCTGTTTATATTTTCTGTTTATTCCTGGTTCAGTATTGGAAGGTTGTGCTTTTCTAAGAATTTGTCCATTTCTTCCAAGTTGTCCATTTTATTGGCACATAGTTGCTTGTAGTAATCTTTCCTGATCCTTTGTATTACTGCAGTGTCAGTTGTTA